TGATGACGGAGGCAGTATGACCTCTGAAACGTTGGTTAACATCGACCAGACTACACAGCGCAACCCAGAAGACAGAAATCTTCATACTTACCGCTGTGAAAACCTCAAATCATACATAGTGCAATATTTCATTGCTGTACATATGAACACACACATGCCCAAACACTCACTTGGTCACTCACTCTCCCTCCCTCATTCTTTATCATGGAGACACAAGGGCTTTTCTTAAAATAAATTGTAATGAAATTGCTTGTTAATTATAAGTATTGTGAATACTTATTATCATTACTTATTTACAGTGACAGTCTTATGAATGCATATTTCCACTGACAAATTTTCTGTTATTTACTGCCACAATGCTGCATAGTAATCACTTTATCAATTAAATTGGCAATGGACATAAATTGCTGTTACATTATAAAACCAATTATAATCAACAACAAACCAGACCAGAGGCAGAGAGAAACAGAGGGAGAAAAAGAATAGTATTGTAGAAGTTTATTTTATGTATAAGATAACCAGGCACAAATGTAACCAGACTCAAAATAAAGATCAAGTAAGTCAAAAAGACATGTTGTTCACATACCTCAGCATGCACACCAATCATGTTGGCAATGATTTCCTTGGCATATGGTCTGATATCTGTAGGTTTTCGTGTTGTATCCCAATCAAATCGCCCCAGGTACATAGATGGTTCTATTGTTCCCACCAATGGATCACTTTTCTGCTCTAAGTATACCTCAAGAATCCGCTTGTCCAATGTATTCAAGGCATTGGTAGCAGTAGCAATTGGTAATACAGGAGATGGAAAGCCATGACGTATGAACAGCTCTGAGAGACAGGGTAACACAACTTTGGCAGTGTACTGACAATTGCTTAATGTCGTAAGCAATCTCTGCTCCCAAGCCTGGTAAACAACAAGCACCTAATTAATGTTGATAAAAGATATATATATATATATATATATAAAATCTATACAGAAACACATACAAATATCAATACTTGGTGTAAGAAGATTAATATTTCTAAAGATTAAACAGAAAGCTGAACATATTATTTATGAGTATTATGATTTTTAACTCCTTAATACACTGTATCTGGACACTATAATTCAAGTTAAATGTACTCTCCTTTATTTTTTGCAGTTTTGAAAATAAATACTACCTGACTCCATGTACCAGAGTTGTTCTTGAGAAATTTCTTCCACTTTCACAGAAACTTAAGGTTTATTACCAAGCCTGCAAGAGCCCACCACCGGTCCCTATCCTGAGCCAGATAAATCCAATCTACACCATCCGACCATATTTCCCTATGTACCTACAAGATGGTGTCGTACACTACAACACCACAAACCAAATATAAGAGCTAACCCTTGAAGCTTTATCCTGCTTCCACTGGCTTTATCTAAATTTCAGTCCACAAAAAAAGTGCTATGTGAGTCACATCAGCTATTTCCATATAGACTTTACTACATTACACTATAAAATAAAACTCACTGGACCACTTCTTTCCTTCTCGCTACTTCTATACACTGCTGGAGACCCAATGAGCTGTGAGACTGCTGTTGAGTGGTCTTCTTGCATAACTGCTTCATTACTGAATGCAAAGTTCTCCAATGACTGTGGCAAAGAAAAGAAAAGTTTATGTGATTTTCTGCAATAGATATAGAGCAAGAGCTCTTAGTGTGGTTGGTGTGTGTGTGTAAATCTTACCCATATTAACGGCTCAATTATAAGGCAATAATTAACAACAATCATGATATTAAAATAAAATGCACCAAGGAAATCAAAAGGGAACTTATTAAATACACAATCATAACTTCATACATATTTCTTTAAAAGAAACAAACCTGTGAGAAACTAAGAAGCAGACCTTGAACAAGCGCGCTCAGTTCTCTTTGAGCATTGCTGTTTTCAAGAAGTGATGTCTCTCTCTGTTCCCCTACTAATACAGATTCCTTTACCAGCTGTACCACCTCCTGCACCTTGCTTTCAAATTGTGATGGCTGCAAATAGAGTTTAAAATATACAAACATAAACAAGCAAAGTTTTTGAAAACCTACAAAGATACTATAATTTCAGTGCAGACAAAGTCATCAAAATGTAACATAATTACATAAAATGGATAAAGTTATTCAATTGTATATAAACCCATGCTGTATAAGTAAGAGTTTTTCAACCCATCTGGTACTGTGGACACACTCCCTCAAAACCAGTGCAACTTGTGGACACCCCAGTTTAGAAATACTGGTATAAGGTACATCAATCTAAAGCTGCAATGTCAGAAAACTCTTTCAGTGCCATTAAAATTATGCATTTCATTTATTCATGCCACTTGTCTAGTTTTATAAAGAATCTTTTCAAAGAAGCTTCAGTCTTAATTGTATATGCTTGCTAAAATACAAACATAATTTATTAACCACAGTAATAGATGAATATAAGTACTACAGCATTTCACTGAAATCAGTATTACAGTTTGGGCACCGTTACTTATGAACAGACATGACGGAACTAACGGGACCTTTTCAAAACACACATCAATGAGGAAACAACTTCTTTCTGGAGATGAAAAGCAATGTCCTTTACCATAATTTAAAATCAGTAAACAATATATATTATACTATCACAATAAAACTTAAGCAAAATGTAGCCACAGTCAGTTAATGAAGTGTCAGCATAGATAAGATTTAACAGTTCAAGTACAGAATACAAGTATGACAGTGAGGGTGATCTTAATTCATATGGACCAGAAGTAGGTGTGACTAGAATAAAATTTATTTACATTCCATAGATGATTCATATGCATAAGCCAAGGATGCAGAACATGCCATAGCACAAATACAATACTTGCTACTAAAACAAATATAAAATGACATACTTCTGACAATGATTTACAGTTTAATATAATTTTACTGCAAAAATAATTACACAAGAAACCATAAATACTATTGCTTACATGTATGCATAATAGCTGAGAATTTTTGGTTGAGGTAAATTTTTCTACAAGCAGGAGTGACACAGGAGATCGTAAGGACTGTTCCACTGAGTTGGTGCTGAATTTACCCATATTTTAATCACAAATAGCACATTATCAATGTAGAGAATACTTACAAGGGCAGTAATGCCACCATGCTTGCTGTCAAATTCTATTTTCCATGTTTCCCTCTTATGCAGGGATTTAACATGTTCCGATGCTTGTTGAAACAAAGTGCTCATACAGTGTAACCTGGAACAGTAAGACATGTCCTTCCATTAGTAACATGAATACCACTATGTGTTTATAAGCCAGATAAATTCAGTCCAACCCACACACCCAATTTCCTTAAAACTCATTTTAATATCATCCTCCCATCTATACCTAGGTCTTATAAGTGGTCTCTTCCCTTTAGGCTAGCCAATCAAAATTTTGTATTCATTTCTCATATGATCAATGCCAAAGGCCATCTCATTTTCCATGATCTGATAATTCCAATATTACTTTAGATTAACAATGCTCATTAATACTAATTATTTATTAACTGCCATATTCTGTAAATATAAATAAAGTGTTATGCAAAATGAAAAGCTTTATTTGATTTACTGGTTTAATGACTGTACATGCCATTACTGCTAACTTTGTTCCAAGTTATTCTTGCCGCTTTTGTCATCTTTTTGTCTCTGTAATGAATACATATTTGAAATCTTATATACCATGTTAGATTCTAAAAATAAATATCAAAAATATTTGTATACATCCTACTTAATTAGCCCTATCACTGTTACTGTGTTACTGACACAGTTAATGGTTATGCTATTTCACTATATGTGCAGTGATTAGCATCACTTAAAAGTTGAGCCATACATTTTGTGTGGTAATAAATATAAAAAAAGTGGAACTTCTGTTGTGATAACGATTTGTAAATACAAAAGACCATGGCAACCATGGGAAATTAAAATTTAGCTTTGAATTACTGAAAACTGTGGACATAAATGGATCACTAGCATAATAATAATTTTATAGTTCTTGCTAGGTTGACTCTACATACTGAAACATTTGAAGCAGGCATCATTTCCCAGAACAATTTGTTTTATATATTAAGAAGTAATGTATGGTAATACAATCCACACATGTTCACAAAGTTCAAGAAGATCACTTAATAAACTTATCACATCTCTTGCATTTTAAAACAAATGGAACCAAAGAATATGATCTTCCAACAGCCCCTAGCCGCCTTTGTGCCTTAACCAGTTCTCTATACTATTTCTCATGTTTACTCACCGTAAATCAAATATGAGGATGGCTATAATATCTAAAGCTTCTCCTGGGAGATCAAGTCTAATGAAGGAACTGTATGTAGAACGTACATAACGGAGGCAGTGAGGAAGCCATGGACCAACTCCTTCCATGCCCTGACTGGGCCATGTTCCATATGTCTGTCGTTGTACTGACATTCGATCCAGTGTGTGCGGCAAGACTGCTGCACGTAACAGCCCCGAGAACAGCTCAATGGTTGTCAGTACCATCCTCTATAAACCAACATTTATTCAAACACAACTTCATTCATACATACACATAAAAAGAGAAAATATATACATGAGAGAAGATGTTACCTCTTTAAACAAATACTGCTGTTGTAAACTCTTATGTGATAAAAAAACAAACAAACATATTCATTATAAATTATTTCTTCAGTCATAGCAAGTATGGTTTAAAATAGTGTTATACATACTGTAACAAGATTGATAGCTGTACTCTAGACAAGTGTTTCAAGTAGGAATAAAGCAAACCAAAATTATGTCTAACATACAACTAGTAATGCAGACCCACAATACCGACTTCAATTAAAATCTACCGAGTAATTTCAGAAATAAAATTTCTGCAAAACATATTTGAAAATGATCTATTACTACCAATCTCTCATTACAAATCACTGTTCTGCATTTCTGTTAAAATGATTACTAGTCATTATTAAATAAAAAATCATTAATTTTCAAACATTTATAATAATTTCTTCTTTAATGGGTTTCTATGAATAAAACAAATGGACTTTGCTGAACTAAAAAAATTAAATAAAATCTTTGGTGCTTACATTTAGATACCACAAGTAGGGCCTACATCTTCCCAGCAATTACACATTATACAAAATTACATATTTACCTTGAACTGAGCTTGCTTGCCTGGCTCAACCTTAACATGCAGTTCTCCACTGAAATAAGCTTGTCCCAGCTTCCACAAATCTGGAAACCTGTTGGACACTATGTCTGTCAGCTCCTCCACAAACAGCACCCTCTGTGGAACTGATGTCAGCCAGTCATGTGACTGTGAACTGTTATTGTTGTTATTAGATGACCTACCAAACTTGTTTGACAACGGAGTTGATTGCAAGCCTGACTTGGACGTTTTACCTGAAAGAAATTCTACCAGTTATTCACTGTACTCAACATAATTTCACAGCATGTCAAAAGAAAATTATAACACAAAACTATGAGATGCAGCTGGGCATAATGTAAAATGTCAGAGCACCTAGCTGACATGAATGATGACAGTTCACTGAGATGAAACTGATCATCTACAATACCAACTACCTGATAAATATGGCCAGAAGGGTAGGCAGAAGAGAAAGACAAGCAAAACTGAAAAGACAGAAAGAATAACCAAATGAGAACAATTGATTATTATGTGTTATTCTGCCAATGTTTTTCAAGTGTAATTAACAGTAATTGTAAATGTGTTAATTACAGCTCTCATTTAAATTAAATTACATTTTTCATTAAAAATATACAAATACTTTAAAACTGGTAAGTCAATTTAGCTGTAGCTTTAAAGTTAAAATAAACAAGCTCTGGTTATTGACTTTGGACTGCTTTGTTTATTTATAAAAAGTCAGAAATAATTCAGAAATGGAACTATTACCTTCTCATTTAAATGTATACAACTGTCACAGAGTAGTACAGTATCTGTCATCAGATATTTGTTTCTCTAAACTGTATCCAAAAGTTTTAAGCTGTTAGTAACACATTAACATAAATGCATTCTTCTCACAATCCCCTTTTACCCCTGGATAACACAAAAGACTTAATAAAGTAGTAAACAATAAAGTTAATATAAAAGAATAATGGATATGTTCAGCATCAAAACTACACTGACAAAAACTAACAAGTTCAGAGAATGTATGCACAGCATAACAATTCTGGTACATTCACTCCATTATTGCTTCCAGGTTGTCAATTTGTGAATGCTCCCTTGTAAGTAACATAAGTGGTTGTGGGAGGTCATTATTCTGTCAAGATGTGATCTTTGGTATAATATTCATAATTTTTAGTGTGATACGACCATTACCACTTCCAATTAACATAAAATTTCATATTTCTGAAAAATACGTTTTCCAGTTCATACTGTTCTTAATTTAATTTGCCTTGCCTGTTACAAACATTATCTCCCTCACAATATCTATTCATCCAGTTTACTGGAGTATTATGTAAGAACAGACACAACTTTTATGATCATTCAGTTATAATGAGAGGACAAAATGACAACTATACTTGCAAAAAGAATCACACTACTAGAACAACAATAAACAATTTACTCCTAAATCAGTTTCTACCTGTATCTTCTCCAGCAGTGATTTCAGCAGCAATATGTTCATCTCTGCAAGAATTGAGTTGCTGAGAAATGAATGAAGAATGGTAGGATATTCCATCCCATGCTGGGTCACCTGTTGCTTCAAGATTCACCAGATTCCTACACAGAAACAATACCACACTTATTTCAGAATTAAGAAACCAAGTAACAGTAGTGAAAGACATTATCAAACATTTAAACTGTTTGAAAAACACTGACAACTGTAGGTAAACAACAAATGAGTTCAATAAAATATATTTGAAAATGGAAAAGCTCTAAAAATATTGTCACCATATGTACCAATTTACAGGATCAAAAATGTAATTTCTTAAATTCAGCATGTAAGCCAGGTCTTTTAATGCACAGTAGGCATACCTGGCAAAATAAGTGCCTTTGTTAGAAACGCATTGTTACTGCTAATGATTAATCTTCCAGAAATGGTCTCTGATTATCCCACCTTCTGTCTGAAAGCCAAGGATGAGGCAGGAATCCACCTTAGCACACTTTTAGGGCAGGAATGGGTTTAGCAAAAATTATTATAATGTTTGGCAGAGAGGGCTCTACAGCTTAAACCAAAATGGATGCCTGGTAAGTTTTGGTAACACAGTAGTACAGGATGTTGGCCTACACACTATAGTTTGCCTCACTATGAGGATTTAATTGCTATCATAATAAAAGTATCATGTCAATGATAAACTCATCATGTGAATATTTTAAAGAACTTTTTATAAGCATCACATTCAGTTTTCCACACACAATAGTTAACAAAACATGATAATTTCACTGCTCTGCAGTGTTTTATCAATTTTAGTCTGCTACAACTCAGATTGATTGAAAGATGTAATGTTTGCTATAATTTAGTTTGTTTGTAGGTGTAAGAATTTTATTGAGATCTAAAGCTTTTGTGGTGAGTAAATGCAATGAAGCATTCTCAGGCAATCAGCCATATCAGCAGAGAGTCAATTTTCAAAGTTTTGGGACTGCCTCTGCCTCTACCACCTGAGACTTTATTTTAAATAATTGTATTTGAAATGATATGTACAAGTGCATACAAAATACTGTCTTGTTAATAGAAACAGATATGTACAAAATTATATCTTTTAAAGTTTCCATCAGTATAATTTCAGTGCAACAGAACAAAACAAATAATGAAGCAGTAAGCCCCTTCATTATGAAAATGTCCAAGAATATTAATTGAAAACAATCATGATACTTAATTGTTTATAATTATACAACTGAATGGCCTTTTCTCAATCACTACAAACAGATCACATAAAAATTTACCTCCACAAAGATCTATTAGACCAAACCTTGTAACAGTAGTTCACATTTAACTGACAACACAGTTTATGTTTTTATTAAACATATAAAAATGTGCTTCATTAAAAAAGTTTTGTTATACTCAAAATCACCCACCATACCTAATATTACATGGCTATTTCCAGTCATTCATCATGTGACAATTTTTAAAGAAGATTATAAAAATATGTTATTTTAATTTTTAGACACAAATAAGATTTACACTGATTATAAATCTTCAGGAACCAAACTGCTTTTACCTTATAATTCTCTTCTGTTCTTCAAGAGTTGATGGCATGTCCTGCAGCTTACTGTGTAAAATTTCTCTCAATCTGTTGATCCGTTGTTCAACTTCCACTAGAACTTTCTTGAACACCTGAATAAATAATTAATCACATTTAAAATACAATTTGGTTATACAAAAGAAACAATATCATAACATACTGACCATTTTTATGAAAATTACTGCTTTAGAGAAGAAATTCCCCAAACGTTCATTACCATGTTCACAAGAGTCTGCCACCAATCCCTATACTATGCCAGACGAATCTAATTCCGAACTACCCCAACAGAATCTCAAAGTTTTGCACTGCAAGTATTTTTTAACATGATAAGTATTTATACAGATTTCATATGTAGACTACAAATATCAATACAACTGATTGTTAACCCTTCAGCGTGGAGTGCCGAACATAGGGTTAAAACTGATAAACCACAGGATATTTTGGAAGGATATGGATTGAAATAGAGTTAATTTATGTAAGACAAATCAGAAAGGACAGACTGCCTACAACAATAATGAAATCAAGATCAAAAGGAAGACAATTAGCAGAGAGATTGAAATCATGACAGAAGGATGAAAAGAAGCCAGAAAATTAAAACTTTTTAACTGTTATAAGATTAAGAGAGAACAGACTCACAGCTACATCAGTCTTGCTGAAGAGGTTTTTGGCACGTGCATAGTCATTGATTACAACATCATAATCTCCTTTCCGAATATTGCGCTCAATGCTCACAGGTAAGCTAAAGAGGAACTTAAATCTCAAAAGAACTCCAAGAGCATTCCGTGTGGCATCTGCACGATCCCGTCTTGCTAGAACCTCATCAAACAGCTTGTTTGCTTCAAGGATACAATCTGAAATATGGACACAGTGCATGAAATACTAATAACACCTACAAGTTACAAGTTAGCAACTTTCTATACATACCACAGATTAAACCACCATGCTTTATTCTCTGAACCTGTGTGTTTATATCTATGGTTGGAATAAATTGTGAGAACTGTTCAGTGAGAAACATATATATATGTTCACTACCATATCTGACATTGGTTAAACAGCAACATGCTCTCAGAGACAAAGAATAACTTTCAGAATGCACTTTGACAACATATACTTATCTCATGCGACTAGAGGGTGCACAGCTGCTAACTTGAAATTCTTTGAATGATGGCAAACCAACTGCCATTAATTTTTTTTAGAATGTAATTCTGTAAACTGTTAGAATACTGAAAACAGCTGGGCTGAGAGGCAAGCCAGAAGTGGAGAGATGGGAAGTAAAAGTGTTAAATGAATCTGATTAATGCTGAAGTTGATTCTAAAATTAAACATTCATATCAAGAGCTGTACTTATTTCTGTCAAATTAGACTTCATCACCACTCAAGGAAAAATGCCATTCACATATCTAAAATTATATGAATAAAAAAATCACTTATCACTTAAATATTCATGCTACTGAACTACCTTGTATTGCATTTTCCACTTTCACTGTTGGTTCAGGGCCATGTTCTTTCATATCAGCTTCAAATCTGTCTTTTAAAATCATAAGAGTATCCATCTGGTCCATCACTGAACCTACATTTGCCTGCCGAAGATAAATACAATCAACATATAAATTGCAATACTGAATTACAAATAATCCACTATTATTATAGTCAGACACTAAGCATACACTCATTCCTTCAGACATTTTATAAATGTTTTCAAATATAGTCCCTACATACTCAATATGTACTTTCATTAGCACAATTGATAATAATGAGTTCAAAGTACTTCACACAAAATACTTAAAATTTAGCAATCTTGAGAGTATGACTGTTGTTACTCATTATGTGACAGGAAAGGCAGAAACTAAAATTTCTTTTTACAATAAAATCTTTAACCCTACAAAGAAAATGCACATCTAAATGATATTTAAGAATTCAGTTTATAATGCAAAGAAAATACTTTACCATTACAAAAACAAATTTGTTAATGCTGTTCAAGGAATTAATCCTTGTTTACATTGAGAATAATACAAAATGCAGAGTTACTGATTATTACAGCAACTGGAACATATAATTATCATTTGGCTTCAAAGAATTATCAGTACATCTGACTCATGCTGTTAATGTCATGTCAGTTTAAGTGAACATTCAACTACTGTGCTAATGCAATTCACAATGAAGGTGCAAGTGTAATTCCCATCCAAAAACATAGTATAAATGCTTGGTTTTGTTAATTTTTACTAAGTATAAAGTTCACGTTTATGTAATAAATACATTCTATGCCATAAAATAATATACATCTTTGTTATATCTTTACAATATACCCTTGTTCCTCATAGTTTTTTGATACAGCTACACTATTATTTAGACTACAGTATTATTTAGTTACACTATTATTTAAAAAAAGCATGTTTTAGTGAAGTTGGAACTCTTAGTTCTCATATTCAGGCATATTTTTATATATATTATAACATCAGATAATGGACAAGCTCCAAAAACAACAATCCAGACTGTAATGAACCACTGCCAAAACCCTTCAGAATATATATTTTTATATAGATATGACAAATCTGAACATGGTAGCAGATTAGATTAGGATGAAATGGACTGGGTAGGTTTCATTTATGTTATGTTATGTTTTTATTGGATGTATAAGAATAAATAAAGCACAAATTTAGCATAAAGTTTAGCAGATTATATCATGTGAGTACATACTACAGAGGCTCAAGTGTATGGTCACTAAACTGAAAAGCTGTTTGACAAATTAACTACATATTCACTAATGACTATTAATACAATTTCTAAAACTATATATACCATAACTTCTCTAAGAACAAAAGGTTTGCAGCATTTTGGAAGCAATACAGACTACTACTTAATTCATTATATTTCATGGAAGCCTCACTTTAAAAAAAGAAAGTTGTCCTTCCTTCTGGCCATCAACCTTCCGTCGCAGGAAAGCAAGACCAGCTCGCAAGTCATCAAATGTTGTAGCATGATGATGTTCCAGCAAAAACCAGCCAGCTACAAACTGCTCTGATGCCAAATCACCTGATCCCTCAGGAAACAGTTCATGTAGGTCATCTTCTGGAAACTTCTTACTGTGACAAATGATGTTTGTTTAGAACTGTGTGAACATAATATATTAATTTCCATTCATATAAATAAATTATACTCATACTCATTCTCCTCTACTGAAAGACCAAGTGGATCCTCTTGTTGATAGCTTGTGGGCGACAAGGATCGTCGTCCCCAAGCAAGTGTCTGCAATGGAGCTTCCTCTACCCATACAGCACTTTCTTTCATTGGTCCAATAGTCTCATGGTAGCCTGAATATACAGAAGAAAGCCAGTGATTCCAGTTTCACTTTTATACAAAACAAAACTATGTAACATCATATAATGGACTGCAATACACAATTCCGTTACCAGTAATCATACCTCGGAACTGCACTGTAGATGTTCCTCTTCCTCCAGATCGAGTTGTGACAATAATATCACCACGACCCTTTCCTGGACCAGACCTAGCAATAATTTTGTTTGAAGACTTCCATTCTGCTGACAGTAAGCAGTCACAGCCACATATAGTCAACCCTTGAAGATCAGTAGGTCCAGTGCCCAAAAATTCACCCCTGACAGTAACACGAGTCCCTGGTGGCCCTTCTTTCGGAGATACTCCTGTGACAACGGGCGGAGGCCCCATTTCTCAGGTCCTCCCCTGGTATTTTAACAAATCTCTTTGAAGGGGTTTGAAGCTTCACGAAATACTAGTTTTAAAACGCAAAATACACCCACACACAAACACATGTTTATCACAGCAACTACATTACTGCCAAGATTACAATTTTACGCTACCCATCAACATATTTTAAAATGTCAAAGCAGAGCTGCACTATCACACTTGTTCATAGCTCGATATATAGAAGGCTGTGAATTTGGCATTTGGCACTGAACACGGTAACGGCAAACGTAGAGTGCTGTTGAAGCCATTATTCGTAACGTTGGTATTAGTGTCAGCACAGGAAAAGAGCGGTATCACAATTCTATTTGCGGCATGTCAGTACGATAGGATCGAAATTCTAATATTCTCGTAAAGAACGACTCGGTTCCATGGAGTTATTTACTTTTTTAGTTTATTTAACGACGCTGTCAGTAGCTCATATTATGAATTGAATGATAAAATGATTAATGAACAATAAATTGGAATGGGCACGGAAATAAGCGGCCGTGGCCTTATTTAAGTTCTTTCCCAAATATTGCCTGGAGGGACTGTAGAAAATCACGAAAAATCCAGTCCTGATAGCCGATCTCTGGGACCGAGATTTAAACCCTAGATCTCCCGAATACAAAGCAGGGGTGCTACTCATGAAACTGCAACATTTGGTGATTGAAATATCATCACAAGGAGCGGGTACAAGTGCACTGTTATAAACATATAGCTCTGAATAACATACAATAGTGTTCGGAGTCGTATATAAGGTTCAGAGGGTCAAAGTAGCTTATACTATACCAATTAAACGTTAAAAGAGGTCTACAGCACTGAGGTTGGAAGGATCATTCACAAGGTTGATGTAATTTTTTGTTCTGCTCGTTCATACACTGATGTCGAGTGCAAACAGACGTTTTGGTTACATTTATGTTCTAAGTAAATTAGAACATCTAGTACAAATAATGATTCAAGGCGTGAACTATGATGAATCATCGTGGCAGTTGTAATTCTTTGATTAATGACAAGCCTCTTTCTATTTTACAGCTAAGGCGAAAACAGTATAGAGAATCATGAATTACAACTGTAGTCATGTATTCATGCAAATTCACACTAAGCATACGGGTGTATGGGTGTGGGAATCTGCACTGTATTTCACGCATTACAGCACACGGGAGATAGGAAATTGGTTTTAAGCAATTACAATTTGAAAAGTTGGAACTTTGTTACCAAACAAAACGGATACATTTTCATTGCATTGTTTCTGAATCCGAAAAACTTAATTTTAAATGTTAGTGTGATCAAGTAGGCCTACACCTAAAAAGCCGAATTGCTCATTGGAACAGACCAAATGTTTCTCTAACGACATTAATAATAAAAGTCCCATCATTTGACGCTATACAGTCTGAGCTACTGACAGCGCAACTAATTAAACCATCACAAATAAAATAATAAAAGTCAGGGAGCACAATAAATTGACCATTATTTCGTTATTCATCGTACATTAACATTACGGATCACCTACATTACCATCATTTCATTCGATGTATTTAACATAATCTGTTGTTGAAAAACGTCGTTCCTAAACAAAGCAGAGCTCATGTGGGAACGTTGGATAATCTGCAAGCCTTGGAGCAGGTGCATCGTTCTACCGACCCACGAAAACTTCGATTTCAGCACCAAGATTGCACGATCATTCATTTCCATGTGATACATTCATGTTGCTCATGGCACAACGATCAGCGCATTGCCTACCTACCTTATAGACCCACAAACAAATATTTCGAAATGAAAATGGAATTTGTAGGTTTTGTTTTCCTTTCAAAATAAATAGCCAACAAAGTATACTGCACGCTGTTCAGATGACTGGAGCGTAATGTAAGTCATCCTTACTCACATCTAGCTACTAATATTAGTATTGTTATTTATATTTTTCAAATATCCACCTAGTTACATTTATGATTATAAACACACTTAACAATTTAGCCGAATAAAGAAATAAACACTTTTACCTCGAGATTGATCATAATAACTAATTGCAGCTGATGGGGGTTTAAATGTTAAATATCTTTTTAGTACAACTAAACGTATCGCCAGAGTGATTTTCTTTTGTTTTTGTTTTGATCTGGGCGTAGTTTAATGTAAACACACAGGATAATTCCAAAATATTCTGGATAAAGGTAATGGAATGCATTGCTTTCCTGTAATAAACAAGTAGATTAGATAACCTTCGGTTACGCACCTTCTCTGGTATCTGGAATCTGCATACGAAGGAGGAAACAGTGCAGATTACTTATGTTCTAAGAATGTACATTGCAGTCCAACTCCAACATTCGGAGCAAAAAAGAAGGTTATTTCCGAGATAAAATAAGTTCAGATTTGATACCAGCAGTCTTCTAGCATTTTTAAATTCAGTCCACATCTTCCTATCATCTTTTCAAAGGCACGTTTTAATATTATCGCTATATAAACAAAAATCTCCCAAGTTGTTCTTTCCTCGTAGCATTCCAACTCTTATTGTGTGTACATTCTCCCTCTCTGCCAAGCGTGCTTCATGCTCTGCCTGTCTCACCCCCTTCATTTAATCACCTTGATAATAGCTTATTATGAAAATCTTCATTACGCACTTTTTTCCGTTCTCCTGTTTTACCATTTCTTAGGTCTAAATAATAACCGCATTTATCCACGTTCTTCATTCAGAGTTAAATACAAAGTTTCCTATGTCTAGGTCTATATTAGATTTCTAAATGTACAACATAATTTTTACAGTCAATCTGAGATTGTGTTTGGTTGAACACTCAACTGTACCACGCACATCCACTGTCCTTCATCAGAGTTAACAAGGACGTGTTTACCTACGAGATGACGCAAGGAACCGCTTGTGAGCCAAATCGGAAAGAGCAATCGATTCAATACATATTTACGAATAATAAAGGGATTAAATACAAAAGGGACACAAAAAATATACAGCAGCTCATACTAAAAGCATGACAAAACTACTATAAGGACTTAATGAAAATGAAAAGACAAGGTATAGTGTTCCAAAATTAAATGACGACAGCAGAGGTTTAGTCAAAGAACAAGAATTTATAGCCGCTGTACAAAAATTTAAAATAAGACGGCTCCAGAAACAAATGATATTAACAGTGAGCTATAAAAGCAAGTTCCTCTATCTCTATTACATACATTCTTAAACTTGATTAATATTCTGAATATACGGAGACCGTCCCAGTCTCCGACAACAGTCGATGATCACATCATAATCACACGATAAAATTTTATCGAATGAACAGATTCAATTTTCCCGACGGCAATGCGTTGTTCTCTGATGGAGAGATGGTTGAGCTTGCCAGTTGAGTATTTGGGAAAAATCTGCCCCAGTGACATTCTTTCATTACAGTTGCCACAGAGTGCTGTCAAAAGCCGATGTCTATGATATGGCATAGTTCGTATTGCTCTTTTGACGTCAATTTGTTTTCTGCTTAGCGTATTTCTTATAAACCTTTAGTTTGCATACAATGGAGTTCAGTGTCAATAACGCCTTTAACAGTCTGCAAGTGCTGACAAGACCGACAGGGTCTCGTCAGGACAACAACGGATGGAGGATGTAAGTTGCCAGGAACACAAAGTAGATAGGAACCGTTATCCTCATGCTTGATGTACAAGGGAAGTATGAAATAAACAAATATAAGCGAGACAATTATGAACACTATTTTTCGTTACCGGAGAAAATTCGTAAGTGGGTAAAAATCCCCTCTCCCCCCAGTGCTTTTTACTTATATTTCAATCCAGTTTTCACGAACCTATGTCAATCTGTTCCCTACTCCACTTCGAAATTTAAAGCACTAAACACCTCTTGGGACAAAGGAAAGAGGTCCAAAGCATGTTAGTAGTTCTGCCTATCACCACCCCGGTTTCTATGCTTACGTAACGCACTGTTTTGCAATGAGGTTAACGGTAATTACCAGCTGCTGGTCTTAAGTTCAGTTCTATGCTAAGCTACGTATCTGGTAATGTTAACGAATTAGTTTTCTCTCTCCCTTCGCACAGCAGATATCGACTAGTGCATAGGACTGCGCGTGAAGTGGTAGATTAATTTGACATTCAATGAAATAACTCGGGCTAATAAAAGACATAGTGGTCACAGACAAAGTGGTCAACTACGGCAAGCTGCCCCAAAGAACAGCCTCTATATTTAACAACTCTCCACCAACTCCTCACTTGAAACAAAGTGTCCGGTTTCTCGTGCACTCTTCCCGTTTACAATTACTCTTCTTGCAAGTGAAATAAATGTGACTATGTAATATGTATGCAAGTGATGATTCTGCGACGTGATCATCCTTCATTAGGCTGACCCTCAATAATGGACAATTACACCTACAACCAACCATACGCCTACATTCTTATACCAGTTCCAGCGAATTTGCAAATTAAGATTGAAACACTCTGAATGTTTTTAAAAGGCTTAAGTTCCAGAATACTGGCATCTAAAGTGTTTATGGCTTATCGCGTTACGCAATGTTGCCACTTTAAAAGATAAAGTAGCTGTAAACGGCAGTAAACAGTTCATCGCAACTAATTGTTAGAGCTAATAAATTCTAGCTCGACGGAGAGACACCTGGTGGATACACCGAGAAAACAGATTCAGTAGTTGCTTCACTTTCGAAGTGAACAGACGGTCGTCACACAGGAAGTTTGTGGCAAGGCGTCAAGACATGATAACGAGATATAATTAAATAGTTTCTTTTCAAGTGAAGTGCAGTGACGTGCAAATGTGTATAATAAAATAAATACCTTGTGATATTTTTTGTTAAAACATGACACACAGAAGGAACACCATAAATATTTATGACTATCCTGAACATTTAAATCCATTTCGTGAAGATGTTGACGACAGTAATGAAACATTTAACACAACGGGGCGACGACGTTCATCGTTTAGGGTCAACGCTTGGTAATTAGTTTATATTTATATTGAAAATACTGCAGATAAGAACGTCAGAGTTTTATTTATTCTATTGTGAATTGCATCTCTAAAACCAATTGGTAGGTCTGTAATCAAGATTCATTTTCCAATTCATATAAGTTAATTTCCAATGGAAGGTTCCTTATTAAAGGTTATTTAAATACCCTGTCAGTTAACTAAATCTGAGGGTTTGCGACGATGGTCTGTTGTTAAAACAACGAAGTTTCTGGACATCATCCATCGTCTTGATTCCAGTCTCCGAAACGTCGCGTTTTTAACAAGAAATCAAGAAGATAGATACGTTCAGAAACTTAATTGTTTTAGCCCTGTCAGTTTCTTTTGTCTCATGTTATTCTTCAATATTGGTGCAGTAATATTAGATAGAAGCCACGCCCACCTTTTATATACTTCCCATGTACACTCTGTTTTATTGATAAAGATTACATTTGGTAAAAGATTTAATTGGAAAATGAAACTGGACGTTAAGAAAAACAAAACTGCAGTTCCAATGGAAATCCCCCGTTATATGTTTATGCACTCGTATGCTTGACAGTGTAAGGACGTTAACTACCCTTATAATCCTGTACCAACGACAGAAGTAGCTAATAACGAAATATAATTGTGGTCCACCTCCGATTATATGACGTATCTTTTGTTGTATTGGCAATTTTATTGCGAACAGGTCATGTCATTGTCATTGTCTGTACGTCAGGTTCTTTCATGTGATGTCACATACGTGATGACACACGACATAAAAACACAAGTTGGTCCGTGGTTTGGAATGAAATTGTGGTGATTTATACTGGAGCACAATATCTAAGAATTTTCTTGTAATCACTGGAGAAAATAGGGGATAACTACAAAAATAAAATACCTTCGCAGGCAATTGACAGTCTGGTCATGATATTGTTATACATTTATTTTCAGTAAGGGAAAAATCATTTTACATTCTATCTCCAAACGATAAAACACACATTTCAACCTCATCATCAACTGTGCAGAATTAAACAGAAATTTGCTTTCCTAATCCCTCTAGGATATGAGATTTAGAGCAGGTTCTCTCGGCGGTGAAGATGTTAATTGTGGTTTTCTGGGCTGTGACGCCATGTAATCTTGTGGGTGATTACAAACATTTTGGAGGAACGTATCACCCGTATCACCATTGGAGAAGTTCCTCCTAAACTTTGGTAACCACTTACAAGGCCACACGGCTTCATAACCCAGGAGACCAGCGTCGAATATATTTTCGTTTGTTTCTATATCAATTTATTTAAAGGCTCTGTGTAATCTGTGTAAGATGTACAGCATTCATTGAGAAACGACAATATAAAATTATAATAAGATGGGAGGGATGGGCGAAGAAATCGCCGTGGGCTATTTTTAGGCCCTCTCCCGGCATTTGGCTGGAAGGACCGAGTAAAGCTACATCTACAGCGCTCAGTAAGTTGGATAATTAGGATTTGAAGTTTTCGCGGCGGTGAGTCCGAAGATGGCTGTCTTCTGGGTTGTAGCGTCGTGGAGTCTGGCAG